AGGAACGCCAGGTCTGACCACGGGGTGAAGGTTTGGCAGCAGGCCGGTGTAACTTGGACCCGGAAGGTGCCGCGTTGCCACGCCCACCTCAGGATTCGGCTATGGAGCCAATGCTGCAGCGGTCTCATATGGAGTAGCCCGAGCGGCGTGACTGCCGCCGTGGCTGCCATATGCCCCAGGAGCATCTGAAACGGTTTCAGTGGGACCGCTATCCTGCTCTTGAATGTATTCAAGCAGTTCAACACCGACTGAGCACGTTCCTGCGTGAGGCGTGCTGTCTGTTCGACCGAGTCCAACTCCATACCGAGAAAAGAGATCCTCTGCGTCGGGGAGAGTTTGCTCTTTCCCCAGTTGACCCATGCCAATGTGCATTGGCTCGTTTAGTTTACACTCGAAGTAGATTGGTCCCTCTAAGCGAGATCCCAATTCGTCGGTCATCCGACGTGACGTCGAGAGTGACCGACTGAAAGGGAACTAACATTGTCCAATTTGAACTTTATACTTGTCTGTGAATTGTTGTTAATTGGAGGGTCTGAAGTGCTAACAAACTAAACCGTTTCATTTCCTGGACAAGAGTAATTAAAGAGTCTCTGTTAACGGTCTTTAACACCTCTTTAATTTTCTTTCTCACTTACATCTGCTGTACACTGTAAAGCAGTGCTGCTCTACTGGTGCATTTGACCCAAAAATGGGTCACAGTTCTGCACAGCAAGGAAACAATAAAAAATAAAATAAAAAATATATAGCTGCAAGCAGTGATAATTGGGGTTCAAGCGGGGTTTAAGACATTTAAGCACATATGAAAAATACAATACATATTATTTGGCAAGCCTGTAACCACCTAAATCAATTATTTAAAAAAAAAAAAAAAAACATTTTTGGCAAATCCAGGTAATTTACCATAGAAATATGATGATTTTTTAACGTTTATGACTGTTATAACGTCGTTTATGACTCTTAAAGCACCACCTGTGGTTCAATCGCCATACAACTTTGCATGCTTGTTTAGAATCACCTGTTGCATGTGCTCACCTACAGTAGTTTTGTTTCGGCTTTATAGACTTTTGGGGATATTTAGACAGGCCCCTTTTCTAAACAACCCCATTATAGCAGTAAAGTGGGAGGCGTGACAATGGAGTTGAGGATCCAAATGCAGCTTTTATTCACAAGAGTGGTCAAACACCAGCAAACAGGTACAATCCAGGGCGAGACAAAAGAGCAATCCAATAAACAGTCCAAGGTCAAGAAACAAGAAGGCAAGGCACGGCAAGACAAGACAAGGCAAGGAAACACAGAGACTCGGAACAGGGTACAGGCTAAACAATAATCAGCAATGTGTGTGTGAATGAGTGCAACCTTTATAGTGTCACTGATAGGAAACAGGTGTGGTGCAATAATGAATTCCTACTAATGTGGGATGCTGCGCGGGAGCGGCGGCCGGAGGCCACCCTCGGCGATGAGCGGGCTGAGGCGCTGCCACCGGCGGCCGGGTGGAGGCACACCAGCAAACAGGTACAATCCAGGGCGAGACAAAAGAGCAATCCAATAAACAGTCCAAGGTCAAGAAACAAGAAGGCAAGGCACGGCAAGACAAGACAAGGCAAGGAAACACAGAGACTCGGAACAGGGTACAGGCTAAACAATAATCAGCAATGTGTGTGTGAATGAGTGCAACCTTTATAGTGTCACTGATAGGAAACAGGTGTGGTGCAATAATGAATTCCTACTAATGTGAGACAGCTGTGAACTGATGATGAGATCTGATGAGAGACAGGTGATGCACTTGATGAGTCCGGGCAAAGGATTATGGGAAATGGTGTCCTGAGTGAATGGCAAGGTACAGAATGGAGTGCCCTCTAGAGGAGCTCATGGGCACTCCAGCTGGAGATCATGACAATAGCTAGGGGGGGGGTTCAAGATTGAGTGAAAAACCTATGGCTAGTTTGCAAAAGTTATTATACATATTCTCAATTATGTAGCAAACAATTTGATTGACATAAGTGGTACTAGACGCAGAGTTGCTCGGAATGAGGAGGTCTATCAGATTATATGAATTTTGTTTGTATGTGTGAAAAACCGCGCAATAAACAATCGTATATGGCCTTGAAAAATGTGATATCGCCTCCCAGTGACCGATTTCTTTCAAATTTCTTACAGACCTTTAGGGCAGTTGTTCCCAACTATATATATATACATTATATATACACATGCAATAATAATACTCATATTTTTTGTATGCACATTTGACAGTAGCTTGAATTGACAGTTGTAGTAGCTTGAGTTAGGCTGCATATGTAAAATGATGTTCATTATAAAAAACAATAACATCTGTAAAATTGTAACAACCTAATTTTTATATAGTAAAATGTCATTATTCTGACTGTTTGAGTTTTATTAAAATTAACCATTGTTCTTTCATAGTAGCCTATATTTAGATCATGATAACCAGAGTTAAAGCCACACATACAGCACCTCAATACCATAGTAAAAATGCAACTATATGGTTTCTATGTATTTGTATGAAAAACAGTAGTCTAATTACATTTAGTAAAAATGCACAAATGCTTAGCTTAATCAAAAAATACTGTAATTATATTCCATTACTCCTTTGATATGTTTAATACATATCTACATTAATAATTGTAATTCGATATGAATATCCCACATTTCTGCCACAATACCATGGTGCCATTAGTGTACTACAGTAAATCCATGTTAACGCCTAAATTATGGTGATTTGTAGATTAAAAAGCCTTCTGACTGTCTCATTGTGCACAGTGTTCCTCCTGTTTGTCAGCATTGTTTCATCTGGTTTTAAACTAGTTTAAATCACTGAGTCGCTGTGGTTCCCAACCACAGGTGAGTCATGAGTCAAACAGGCCCACTGAGTTTAATTCCGATCGACCTCCGTTAACCTTGTCTGATAGGTGCTCAAATTTCATTGACCAATGGTGGGCATGTTTTTTTGATGTACGCAAATGTCATTATAAACACTTGTGGCACTTTGGACAAAGACATGGCATACCAATTTTGAACCAATTATAATGGTTTTTATGTTTTTTCCCTCTTATAGTGCCACCAAGTGGCCAAGCTCTATGTTTTTTTCATGTGACCTCAGATTGAGCTCTTACATAAGTGTTCTGAGTTTGGCGAAGATATGTCATTCTGTTCAAAAGTTATAGCCATTTTAGTAAAAGTGGCTCTGCCCCTTATGAACATTTTGGCATCCCTTTGTAACGGTGAGTCGAAGGTTCAACTTTTTATATATATTGTTGATGTTAATGTCAAAGGCTGTATAACAAGGTGGGTGCTAGGGTGTTTTGTTTTGAAAATTTTTGTCATTTAAAGGCATAGTTCACCCACAAATGAAAATTCTGTCATCATTTACTCACCCACAAGTTGTTCCAAACCTGTATGAGTTTCTTTCTTCTGCTGAACACAAAAGATCTGTTGAAGAATGTGAGGTAAACCAAACAGTTTCTGGTCCCCATTGACTTCCATTGTATTTTTTTTCCATACTGTGAAAGACGATGGAGACCAACAAGTGTTTGTTACCAACATTCTTTAAAATACCTTTTTTGTGTGTTCAACAGAAGAAAGAAACTCATGCAGGTTTGTGAGTAAAGGATGACAGAATTTTCATTTTTGGGTGAACAACTGTATCCCTTTAATAGAGACTATAGCCAAATTAGCCTAGCCCTTACTAATTTACATTTGACAGGATGGACAGGTTGCATGGAACATTAAAGAAATATATACATGAGGTCGAAGAAAATATCACTCAGACCACATTAACTATGTGATAAATTATTTAAGTACTGTTGTAGATGGCGCTGGAAAAGCATTTTTAAAACATGCACATTTAAAAACATGTGCATGTTTTATCAGGATGAACCTGTGCATGTCTTTGGTTGAGCTCCACAAATGACAGCATTTTGCCATTCAGACATATCCCCAAACGCCACGTTTCTCTCTTCCTGTAAAACTGAAACACTCAACCGAGACAGTCTTGATTATGCCGTGTACCCAACTGAAACTGTAAGATTAACACATCTGGTGCACATCTTCCCAAGGAACACACTTGCCTTCTCTTCCTTACTTTGTTTCTTTTTTATAGAAAGAAAAGCTTATTTTTAGATATTTTTCCAGCGGATATTCTTTATTCACTTTACTAGACTTGCTTGTTTAATCATTGTGCTAGAATAATAAATAATTATCCCAAAATCAATTTATATTGTTACACGGATAAACAGTCATGCTGTATCTGAAGAAATGGAGTCAAAATATTATATATACTGTATAATAATTTTCTGGGCTACGTGATGTGCATGTATAATCATTTTCTGTGCTTCGTGATCTTATTTTGCCTGTGCAGGTGCTGGTTTGGGAAGCGGGCCGGCATTTACACTGATTATATTTATCAGGGTCCCATGATCCTGGTCCTACTGGTGAGTCAGAGCAGTTTTGGTTCTTACCCAATTACACAAATGTTTCAGGAGTAATTTTTATTTGTTTGGTGCTTCCCCTTTCATGAGTCTTATTATGTTTTTCTGTGATTTATGTTTGTAATTTCATATTGATAATTCACGTCTGGCACTCAAGTGTGCAAAAAAAAAAAAATTTCTCTCTTCCTCTCTCCATCTTTAGATTAACTTCATTTTTCTCTTCAACATTGTGAGGATACTGATGACTAAACTGAGGGCCTCCACCACCTCAGAGACCATTCAGTATAGGTGAGGCAGACTGTTCAGTACTGACAGATCCCAGAATAAAGTTTTCTCACGCAGAGGTAGCTCGTTGTTAGCCCAGGAGACTTATTAGCAGGAACGCGAATGTTTGCCATTCAGAAAACTCATTAAATCCCCCCGCCACTTAAGTTTTTATTTCATTTTGGTTAATTTGACTATGTTAGCTACCAAATGAGTAGCTCTCAACAACACACACTACCATGCAAATGTTTGAGGTTGGTATGACTTTAAAATGCTTTTTAAACAAGTCTTTTATGCTTACCAAGGCTGTATTTATTTGGTCAAAAAAGAAAAAAACAGTACTGTGAAAATACTGTGAAATATTATTACAATACATTTCTGTGTGTGTGTGTGTGTGTGTGTGTGTGTGTGTGTGTGTGTGTGTGTGTGTGCGTGTGCGTGTGTGTGTGCATGTGTGTGATGCTCATATTCCCTCCAGCTATGACTAATGTCTTTGACAGTCACAGTCAGTGGCCCATAGCAAATGCAATACATACTGCTTAAACCAAATTCATCTCAATGTCATCCCATTGAACTCTTACTGTGATGTTATTCTGTGTAACGGTATTCGGGCACTACTGAGCTAAAAATACTAAATTAATCATATTTTTTTTACTTTTTTTTTTTGTATATCTCAATTCATGAAATAAACTAAATTTTGTTTGTTAAATGTGGTTTTAATTGGATGATGATTTTCTATGTTAAATATCTAATGAAAATATCTAAATAAAATATCTAATATTTATTTATAAAATGGAATAAAATAAAAATATAATATAATATAATATAACTTCTTATATTTTCTTAGGGGGAAAAAATGATATACTCATTTAGAGTATGATTTAAAAAATATATAAATAAAATACATAAAAATATGTACTTTAATGTAAATGCTGATCACTGTATAAAATAAAGTAGAAAATATTATTTCCTTTCTCAACATTTCCTTTAAAATCTTAAAGTCTTAAAATATCTTTAAACGCAATATGGCTGCCGTCGCATCATCCAGGTGGATGCTGCATACTGGTGG